CCCCAAAACCCCAAAACCCCAAAACCCCAAAACCCCAAGAGGATTTTGGAAAATGGAAAAATAATAATTTTACACGTATTTTGTAACATGTTAAGGGTTATCATGGCGATAACAGCCTTTTGTGGGGTGGTTGTGTTTATATTGAGTGGGATTAAGGAGAATAGAAGTAAAGTAATGGAAGGAACTATTGATGATGTGTGTACAACTGTAGAAGAGCTTAATAGCATCAATTCTCTTATTCACCCAAACTTGAACAAGTTGAGGAAATCAGAGTTCTTTAGAATTTTTAAAGTCAATCTTGAGCAAGAGTGTCCCTTTTGGGAAGCTGAAGGGACTTGCATAACAAACAAGTGTGTTGTTGATGAGTGTGAAGCTGGAGAAGTACCTAATGAATTCAAGATGTGCAACCAAACATTCGACGTTGAAAGAAACCTTCAGATATCCGAAATGTCCATGATTAATTCTTTTATTCCAAGCACTCAAATTGACGAATGGATGAAGATTGAGGAGAAAGATGATGAAGCAGTGTTTGTCAATCTGGTAAAGAATGGACATGCTTGGACATTCTTCAACGGCAGTCACATTTGGGATGCTATTTACAATGAAAACTGAATGTCGTTACTCGAGCTTGACCAATGCACAGAGAATCAAGTGTTGTACAAATTGATTAGTGGGGTTCATGCCAATGTCAACCTTCATATCACTCATAATGACTTTGACCTTAATGGAGATCCTCTTCCTCCTAATCATGAGAGGTACCTTGAGAGAGTTGGATTACACGAAGAAAGACTTGAAAACTTGTTCTTTACTTATTCTTTAGCTTTAAAGGCCATAAATAACCTCAGTGGGAAAATTGATGAATTTTCATACTTATCTGACAACCCTCAGGTTGATAATGAAGTCAAGGAAACTCTCAATGATCTGATTGAGAATTCCATTAAGATCTGTGAAAATCCTTTTAGAGAAGAGAATATGTTTACCCAGTGGACAAAAGAGCAATTTATCAATACCGTCAAGCCTGTGTTCTATAACATCACTAGAATCCTTGATTGCGTGACTTGTGAGAAGTGCAAACTTTATGGAAAACTTCAGTTCACAGGCCTTACAGCAGTAATGAAGATCATGTTTGGACAAGAAAAAGAATCGAAGCTAACAAGGAATGAGATGGTTGGGCTTATAAACTTGATGGCAAAGCTCTCAGACTCCATAGAATGGTATTATCAGTGGCTCCAATATGAGCAATCATACGAGTATCCTGTCTTGTATGCACTCAAGAACCATTGGATGATGCTCCTTTTAATAGTACCTATTGTGATATATGAGATATCTTGCTTTTTTAAAACAAAACCCAAGCTAAAAACAAGTGTTAAGAAATCCCAATAATCAAAATTTCATTCTAATAGCTCAAGATATTAATATGCATTTCAATATCATGATTTACCTCAGGGGTTTTGGGGTTTTGGGGTTTTGGGG